CTGGGGAAGGAAAACACTAGAACACAAACAGCACAGTCAAAGCCGGCCACACTTACGCTCAAAAATAAAACATGCAACACTCAGATCGCAGCGAGACGAAACACGTCCGCCACGATCGAACGATCTCTCGAGACTGAGGACAATCGCTTTGTTATTATCATTTCCTAAATAAATTAATAAATACCAGCGTATTATTTCATTTCCATAAAATCTCCTCAAATATTAATAATATTAAACTGTAAACAAAGGCATGAAATTAAGAATGATTACAGTAGTAGGAGGTATAACGTTGGCAATGACTCGATCACAAGCATGCGATTAGTAATAAGTATATTAGGCTACCGTTCTACGAACCATAGGTTCAAATCTTACCGGCGATGCGATGCGTTTTCAATAATTAATTGTAGTTAATAAAACAGAAAATATAGGTATGCGAACAGGTAAATATAAATTGAACTGATAAAATAAAAAGTAATAAAAACGGAAAAAAAAAATTATTTTTGTTAGTCACATGTCAACAAAATGAATAATATATATTTTTATTTATTTCTGCAAAACCATTCTTTCCGTGTAGGAATCCGGCTAGTAAATCCGATTCAATTTCTACAAATTTTCCTGACCCGCGGTATTCTTTTTAAAAGTGGGACATTTCCCAATCGGATTATAACGAGATTTTCTAATCAGATTTAAATAATAACTAGGGAAAATCGATCGGATTTCTACTCAAATTTTAAAGCGAAATTACTTTAATTGTAAGAATATTGTGCTTAAAATATTTTCCGCTTAAATTCAAAGGATTCCTCTTGAGGCCGTATATAAGAATAAAATCCTCTACAATTTAGCGGATTCCGCTAATATAAAAATTATTATTTTGGAGGGGGGATGAGGTAATCACTAAACTGATATTTTTTGTAATGATAATTTTAAAAGTCACTGCAAAACCATCAGTTCAGTGATTAATCTTAACTAAAAAAATTCAACTTTTACATTAAATCTACATGAAAAAAATGGCTTTGCTGTATCTAAAAATTTAGTTAGGTATACCTATATCTGAAAATAACTTTATCGTGTCATCAAAATAATCATGTAAGACACACAAGCTGATTGCTAGAATATAAAACATTTTGCAGCATTGCTGATCATGTTTGAGATTTCTACGATTATTTTGATAATCTAAGAAAATTATTTTTAGGTCTGTAACTAAATTGTTAAATATTTCAACAAATTAAAATCTTCCTTTCCGTGTAACCACAAATTAACTAAGTAAAAATACCTTAAATTTAAATAAATATTTATTTGAATACTGCTAACTAAACATTTACTTACGATAAATAAATATTTACTTAATAAAAAGAAATGATTGTTAAATCAAATTAATGTATTTTGTACCAAATAAATATATTTGTATATTTAATAAATATTTAGTTGGTACTATTCAAATAAATATTTATTGATTGATATTTTTTTTCTCAATGTAGAAGATGAAAAAACTTCCGAGCAGGTTACATAGTAAATCATTATATTCTTTGCCAATATTAAACAAAGATTAAGTGATTCATTACGTTACACTGTGTCATATCTTTTGCTAGAAAACACTTCACATAAATATATAAAACATCAAAAGCAACAGCCATTCGAGAAAGGATTATGTTCCATAAACAATCGAATCGACGAGCGCATCAGAAGAGAAAGATTACGTATCTGTCGCGGAAGAAAAAATCGACAGGAAAGCGCGAAGAATGACGAAGTGCCTGATATACAATTACCAATTATTGTTATTATAGCGTACACCGCGTAACAACACGACTATCGCATTTCTATCCCTCCTACAGGTCTATCTTGTGGGAACGTCTTACGTGTTATGCGCGCACTCTTTTCCAGATGGACGATACGTGCTTGCTTTACCCGGTCGTTGTGTCTACTATAACTCCCTATATACGCGTGTACTCTCACGACAATGCGTTAGGGGAGTACACGCTTATGAATGCAACATACGCATTCGAGTTGTCCTTATTAAGATGTGACGCGGTCTTGCAACGCGGTCTGTTTCCTTCTGACGGGTGTGTACTTGTAACGCTTTTAATTAAGCGCGACGTATCCGCAGAGAGGGACAAATATATCGCGACAACTGTCAACGACAGAACAGAATTTCTATATTGATTTTATTATACTCGAGAGCATATATGGAGCAATGTGATATTAAATTAATTGAAATATTCGCGACAAGTGAATAACACGGTGCGTTTGTGTTGGAAATATTCTTTCCTAGAACCGAGACGGTTAGGAAAGTACGGCTTGAGACTATATTCACCTGGCTGGTGTGTATTAATTAGTGTATTAATTAAACGTCTCGTTCCGGCTCTACTGGTTCCCGTGCTGTCGTTCGACAAATTTCTGTCTCATACCATCGTTGGCGTTTTACAAGGTGGGAAAGGGAACGGGATTTAAACAGGTAGCCGAATAATCGTATTCCGCGACATTTCGTGTTCGCGTTGAATGACTGCGTATCGTATTAACGATTAGACGATTGGTGCAGCCCCCAGTATCTGTAATTTGATGACTCAGACAACACAATGCCAGGTGTATTCTGCCCCTCTTTGTCGTATATTATCAATTTTTATCTAAGCACGCGTTTGCACATTGATAGCGGCGAACAAGCGCGGATCCTCTCTTTTACGTTCGCCTTAATAACTCACGTCATTGTCACGGTTTCATACGCGCGACAGCGTGAACATTCTCTGGGAAACCGTTGACGTAAACGTCAAAGAAACGAAACGCGCGGTTCAATGCTACGACAAATCCATCGCGTCATAGGTATTTTCATAATGTGATATAAGCGAATAGAGCGATGTCTAAAATGCGTTTCGTTGCGTAGAGGCTTAATTCTTTAGATCCATTTTTTTTTTCTTGACAATACAGCCTTGGCCGTAAGTATAAAGCACTCTCAATTTATAGCATTTTCTCGGAAAAGGCGGTAATAACAGCTAAAGGAGAATTAATAAAATATTAAACTGATAATCATTACGTTCCTATAATTCCGAGAGTTTTCGATGCAGCTGTACTTTTGCCATTGTAAAATATTGAAATATAAAAATCGTTAATATATCAAACAAAATATTAAAGCTATTATAAAAATAAATATTATTTCTTAATAAAATTGTTATTTATTTTACGTTAAATGCAGAACGTTTATATCAATTTGTGAGGGTGCTTTATTTATAATCAAGGCTGTATAGTATACCAGAGATATTTGTAATTAGATGATTAAAATAAGTTAAATATGGAAACGAGAGAAACTAAACTTGAGGAGAGCAAATAGATGTTAAAATTATACACTTTAGCTTCAAATGAATGTTGACTTAATGAAATACTACTTCAAGTCTCTCTTATTTACGAAGATGCACGATATTAGAAACTGACATTGTACGATAAACCATCGTTGTAATATTAATAATCTTCTTTCACTTCCGATAAAAAAACATCATGAAATTGATGAAAAGAAACGTCGTCATTCGGTGAATATATGTGATGCGTCATTAATCTTGCATATTAAAAAGCTCGCAACAGATATTTGCAACATTAATTTTATTCGACAGAAATGAAATTCAATCTAAAGAATATACACATCTTTCCATAAGTTCTCATTTTTTCCCCCTAAAATAACCAGAGAGAGAAAAATACGTAAAAGTTAGGTTTCGGCTGTTTTAACTCTTTCGGTTCGTCTGCACTCGGCTACTTGTTGAACCAGGGAGGAAAAGACCGATCGCCAAGAGAAGCAGCTCGCGACGCGCGTGTGGCAACGTCGGTCAGCGTTCGATATAGGCGATCGTAATAGGCGGAAACAACGATGTCGCGATACAAAAGGTTAATCCAACGAGAAACCATCGGTATCTCTCGTTCCGTGCGTACGCCCGCGAATTGCACGCTTTGCATTTCGCGATATCCATCAGACGCGACGGGAAAATTTGCGCGAGAATGCATCCCCGCGATCGCACGCTCGCCGGTGCAATATCAATCCCGCGATGATTGACATCTGATGGCTTTTTCAGAAGGGCGAGAGGACGGCGGAGTGCAGGAAGGGCAAGGCGACGTGATTCGCCCACGAGTCGCACGAGCGAGGGTGAACCACCCCCGGTATATAACTCGATTCACGCTGGATTTTTCTACGGTGGATCGCGTCGAAAACTGGGAAATAACGACGTCGCGAAACGTTGCCGGGATAGATCGGGCCCCGAAAAGTTGCGGGGTGGAAAAAAACAACGCGGCTTAAATGCGCGGGAAAAAAAGGTGGATACGCCCTTTTTCGGTTTCCGCACTTCGCCCACTTCCTCGTTTCCCGTCGCGAAGGCGCAAATAAACGAGAGATGTAAAATACTGTGTACTATAATTGCTTTTTGTACCTCTCATTATTTCATTTGACGGGATAAAAACGTAAGATTTTTTTGTGGCACTTGGCTACTCGCTATGCGCTTTTATCTCGTTTTGAACACGAAGAACGTAAAAGAATGTGAGTGGGAAGGAAGGACAGATCTTTCTCGTGAGTTCTTTGTACCTCCCACATAGGTATTTTTGTTCCTTTCTTCCCGTCTTATCCCAAAACCGCGCGCTACACCGCGCCGTGTTTCAGGTATACACAAAAGGCATGAGAGATACGTCAAAACGACGAGATATCAACGCGTAACGTTATAAAGAAAATATATGAGAAGAGAAAGAAAAGAGCATTTCCACGCTGGCAAAAATGAATTTTTATCGCGATCAAGCCCGTAATTTTCAATTTGCACGGCGTTACACTTTCCGCGCTTAAACAAGGCGTCACGGAGGGAAAAATGCGGAAGGAATTGCAAGAAAACAAAGACAAATGCACGGGGAGTGCGAATCCTCGTTTCAACCTTCTTTCCGGTAGCGATCAAGTGGGAGTGAAGAACAGCGAGAGATCGAGGAGAGACAGGGGACGAGAGTGAGAGGGAAGAGTCTTAAGAGCGGGCGCGCGTAGTGCTTACCTGTCATCGTGCAGCCGTTTGAGGTCGGTCATCTCGCGCTCGAACTTAAACTTCGACACCTCGCAGAGGAGAGCGTCCCGTTCGCCGACGACCTCGGCGAGCTCGCGCTGCAGCCTCTCGATCTCCGCGTACTGGCGGCTGATGAGCTGATTCTTCTCCTCGAGGATGCCTTCGACATCCGGATCTAGGAGGGCGCCCGCCGGCGCCGTCTCACCGCCGACGCTGCCACCGAGTATCGCGCTCATGTCGTTTGTTTACCTTCGTTCTCGCGCTCTCCCGCGCGCCCCGCGTACGAAGTACGAACGTCGCGCGTACGCTGGCGGCTTCTTCGCTCCACGTCGGGGGAGACGTACGACGTCGTCGCCGTCGCCGTCGCCGTCGCCGTCGCCCTCGACACGATCACGCGAGAGAACGCGCGCCCGCCGATTCACGACGGGTTGCCACGAACCCACGTTACTGTCAGCATATTTCAACGGCCGAACGACACGATTAACGAATGTCACTACAGCGCACGAGACGAGGCGAGGCACGCACGATGCGACAGCCCCTCATCGCATACTCGCCATATTGCGAGCGAAGCCGCGGTCGGGTTCCTCCGGTTCCTCGTAGTCGGACCGCGCCGTGTTCGATTCCACTGGTCCGTTGTATCAGGCGCGTCTGCGCGTGCGCGCGTCGCCAGCCGTCGCACACGTGGCGCCATCGCGCGTTCGCGCGCGGTACTGGTCGCTCAATTCGGCAAGTACTCGGTCGGTATGCCATTCTCATGACTAGCGTCGTGATTAAGGGGATCCTAAAGTCCTGTATTACCGACTAAAATACGTACAATTTTTGTATTGCGAATACTCTGTTTCTCTTTCACGGATTCGAAAATCCTTTTCCAGGATTAAAGTATACGCATTAATACGTGACTGTGAATTGGAGTCTACGCTGAGAAT